GCTCAGAAAGAGCAAAAAACGGATATCTACCAAATTTCATCGAAAAATATTCACCGGTTTTCAAGATATTAGACTTTAACTTTTGTTTAATTTTTGGGATCTCCGCTGTTCCTAGCGACTTATTTGAAAGTGCGGCACTTGTTGCGCGGAAAGCAGCGTATACCACCGCGTGCTACAAAACGTTTTAGTCAAAGATTTAAAATCGTTAGATCTCCGCTGACGTCACAAATTCTAAGGGAGCATTCAATGCATTAGCCCCTTAGAATCCGAAAACTGCAAGCTTGAAATTCCATTTCTCCGAATTAAAGCATTTTTCGATGTTGTGAGTGCCCAAACCGGTATTTGCAGGCCATGGCCACCAATTTGGCTATCTCAACTCAAAACTAATGTTAAGGTGGGATGGTCACTTTAAGAAGGTCGAGATCTCCTACCCCACTGCGGTTCCCGCGTCCCTTCACAGACGGATTCTGTGCGCTACGTTATTACAAGTTACAAAAGCTGGTATAAATAATAAATAAGATATATTAATACAAATACAATAAAATATAAAAAGAGCATACAAATAACTGTGAATAAATACAATGATAAAATAGTATCCGTAACTCGTAACCAGATGATGGTGTATACATGCCATCACTATAAAAAGCACCACGGTAATAAACACCTGTAAAAAGCAAAAAAAAAAACAACAACAAAAAACAAAAAACACAGCATCGCTGCTGGAATATCGCTGTCTATCACATTATTGACTAATTGACTATACTATCACATTATTGACTAATTGACTATACTATCACATTATTGACTAATTGACTATACTATCACATTATTAACTAATTGACTATACTATCACATTATTGACTAATTGACTATACTATCACATTATTAACTAATTGACTATACTATCACATTATTGACTAATTGACTATCCTGCTGCCATTTGTACTAGGAGCATTGTTGAGCTAGCCACGACAGGCACAAGCGCCGGCGGGGAGAACACGCCAGTCGTCTCCTGTGCGCTGGCGCCGCCGAACGCTTTGTTCACGGCAGACACAGCCGGCGCGGTCTGTTCCAGAGCCGTCTACGATACCCGTTTTCAGAAATGCAGTGGACTTCACAGCCCGGGTCAGCAGCCGCTGGCCGCATGGGACGGGGATCTGCGCTGATCGGCTTGGTGCAGAGCTCGGCCTGTCAGCAGCCGCTGGCCGTATGGGACGGGGATCTGCGCTGATGGGTCCTCCAGAGCTCGGCCTGTCAGCAGCCGCTGGCCGTATGGGACGGGGATCTGCGCTGTGGGGTCCTCCGTCTGTTCCTGAGCTCCGTCCTGCCTGGAGTCCGGTCGGGCGGTCTGTGAGGGTCTCTGGTCTCCGGGAGTCCCCCCGGTCTGTGATCACGCCAGCCCGGGAGCCTGGTCCGCCCGCGGGGCGCCCTCCGACAGCGCACAGACGTACGCCAGTGTGACTGTCTCTGATCGGCCGCCCAACTGGACGGCCGACTGGACCGGCGCGCACAGGCCCGTGCCGTGCTCGCCGCACGACAGGTCGCTGTCGGCGCACTCCGGGTCCAGCTGGGCGTGCTCCATCTCGATGTCGTACTCGGCGAACACGCGGCCGGTCCGTGTGGTGAACGGGCACAGTGATCGCTCCGTCAGTGGGCGATCCTCCCTGGGGCGGCACCCACCGGCCGAGCGCCGCCGCCGGCTGGTTTGGGCGGCGCCGACGGCCGGCCGGCCCTCGGTGACGGCCAACAGGCAGGCGACGGCTGCCGCCAGCAGACAGAGCAGCCCCACCAGCTGCATCTCGACACTGACACTGACACTGACACCGGCGGCGACGGCGGCGACTGTTCACGGCACGGCCAGCGGCGGGAGACTGACGATCCGGTCAGCAGCTCGGACTCGTCCCATGTCCTCTCGCAACAGTTGATAGCCACCTTTTGCGCTGAGGTTATGAGAGGGAACGGAGGGAACTAACCGGTAGCCACCGCCCCGGAGGGGGAACACCGTGCGTGGCGCGTGGCGAGTCAGCACCCATCAGCTCAGTCATATGACGCATACGTGGACTTGGGTACCAATGCACAATACAAGCCGAGTGCCCACTTATTCCGATTAAGTACCGTGATTCACGTATATATGTGATAAGGCCTGTGACGTCGCAACTGCTTCTCTTCATTGCAGCACTCAAACGGCTGTATTTTGTGGAACACTTTGTATAGAACGATGACATCACACACAATAAATTCAGCTTAAAAATACGGATCGGTTGATGCAATATGACCTTTTCCGGTCAGGCCAGGTTTCCGACCAAACTTCAAATTCATATTTTAAGGTAAAAAAAGACGATAATTTAGAACGACTCGACGAGAGATTAGCACCATGCTGGTTAAATTCATATCAAAGATACAAAGTAAGATACAAAGTAAAGGTACCAGTAAATCGGGTAGGTGTCATGACCCATACCCCACAGCCCGTTTGCGTTCGCCAGTGCCCAAATTGCCCTCAACATTACTCTGATTTCCACATGTGAGTGGTCGAGACCCCTCTCCCAACTTGGAAAGAGTTTCCGCGCCCCTGCTCTACGCGTCCATTCTCCCACGTGCCGCTGATAATCGAGAGGCGGCCAGCACTCGGCGGGTAACTTTTGTTTGATGGCAGGGAGGGGGTAGCTTTTGTTTAACCCACGCCCCGCTGGGTGTCCTGGATTTTCACGCCCTGCTGGGAGGAGGGGGGTAAACATTCCCCCCTCTATATCGGCTCCTGAGCGACGTAGCGAAACGCGGCAATCGGCATTCGAAAGACCGTCCAAAATAAGGACACTTCAGTCATTTTTTAGGTCAGATCAAAGGTCAGGTCACCAGAGGTTATTGAAGGTAAAATGCTGCCTATTTCAACATTTTTTTCTCCGAAACAGCTTCACATAACTCTGGAACCAATAGTTACAGCGCCACGGAAAAGCGCATTCGATAGCCCTTTTAACCTTCTTTTTGGATTATGTCCTCATATTTGACATCGGGTTCACGGTATAGCCCCCAGAGGGCAATAACTAAAAAAATAGCCATTTTTTACGAAAACATATTTTTCTTCCATAGCTTTTACAAGACAATCACAACAATGCTTTCGCCAGTATCGCATTCCTTTCATAGAGACGCGTCGGATGACCTATAAGTTGACCTTGAAAGGTCAACTTGAAAATTTGACCTGACCGGAAAAGGTCAGTTTGCATATCAGTCGATCCGTATCGTCGAGCCAAGCACATCAAAAGCGTTTTCATCGCTCTAACATGCGTCTATCAGAAGTTATTGGCGAAAAACTGTTGATACATTTCGTGACCTGAGATGACGTCGGGGACATATCGAGGGGTCACGGGCGCCATTTTCCGGTTCAGTGTAACAGGTTTACTTAAAACTCGGTGTTTGAATGATTTTAGAATGACGTTCGTCCAAAAGAGGCGCATTTCAATTTGCCCATTGACTAATATCTAAATTAGGTATTAATAGGTATTATTGCGACCTCTCCATTAAATGGAGAGATCGGAAAATTCACCTGAACTTAGGCCACCGACATCAAAACTCCAAGATATAAAATTTGCACATATTGCTGCTCTTATCAATTGCTGAAAGTTGCACAGCGATCGGTCGCTCGGTGTGGCTATGACAGACATTGCAACTTTTGGTGAGGTCACTTGACGTGACCTGGTGACCTGACCTTGAGTGACCTTGGTCTAACATTTTCAACGGCATGTGCGGAAAAGATGCATCATGAGGTGTGCCCGCCGTTTTTTTTTATAGATATTCGCGAAAACCGCAGGGGGTGTTCAAGGGGGATTCAAACACCCCCATCGCAGCAGGGCGCGGGTTAATGCCGGGGCTGCCTTTTGTTCGATGCCGGGGCGGGGGATGAGGTATGTACATTTTGTTCGATACCGGGGGGGGGGGGGGTGTACCTTTTGTTTGATGCCGTGTGTGTGTGTGTGTGGGGGGGGGCGTACCTTTTGTTCGATACCGGGGAGGGGATGAGGTATGTACCTTTTGTTTGATGCCGTGTGGGTGGGGGGTGGCGTACCTTTTGTTTGATGCCGGGGGGGGGGGGCGTACGGCCCTCCAGGTATTTAGTGGTTGGTTGCCAACATCACAATAAGCGATCTGCATTGATGAATACGTCTAATGGCTGTTGAAAGCCATTGCCGAAGTGTGTGCACGAACCCTCTTCTCATTTCTATTGAGTCATTTTACAGGAGTGTCTCTGTCATTCAAAGTTACGACACCAAAAGCACATAGGCTAACCAACCACTCTTTTGCTGGAGGGCCGTACCTTTTGTTTGATACCGGGGGGGGGGGGGGCGGGGGGCGTACCTTTTGTTTGATGGCGTGTGGGTGGGGGCCGGGGGGTGGCGTACCTTTTGTTTGATGCCCGGCGCCATGAAGGTGGTGAACCACCAGGTCATCAGCTTGGTCCAGATGGTGGGGTGCACGATGTAGAACGCCTTCAGGTTCTTCTTGTACCTGCCCAGGAGCGCGGCAGAGGGCGGTGTCAGGCGCGCGCGGACGGGATGGGGGCGGGGGCGGTCGGTGCTGCCGCGGGCACGGCGGGAAAGCCCCGGGCACAGCCCGCACACTGAGTCAGCAGAGAGTCACAGCAGCCACACTGAGCAGAGAGTCACAGCAGCCACACTGAGTCAGCAGAGTTACAGCAGTCACACCGAGTCAGCAGAATCACAGCAGCCACACCGAGTCAGCAGAGAGTCACAGCAGCCACACTGAGTCAGCAGAGACCGCCCGTCCACAGAACCACCCGCACACTGCCCAGAACCATCCACAACACCGGTCAGCGACCACGCTACTCTGTCCATTTGAGACAAACAAGAAGACAACAGCCCAATGCGCTAGAGTAATGCAGAAAAGGAAGTGCGCGGAAAAACCAGCGACTCGGCTGTACACAATAACTGAACTGACTCCGAGGCGGGGAAGGGGTTCGGCGGCACGGCAAACTCCCCTGGAGTCCGTCTGTCCGTCTGTCCGTCCCCTGGGTCTGTCCGTCTGTCCGTCCCCTGGGTCTGTCCGTCTGTCCCTCCCTGGAGCCTGTCCGTTTGTCCCTCCCCTGGGTCTGTCCGTTTGTCCCTCCCCTGGGTCTGTCCGTCTGTCCCTCCCCTGGGTCTGTCCGTCTGTCCCTCCCCTGGGTCTGTCCGTCTGTCCCTCCCCTGGGTCTGTCCGTCTGTCCGTCTGTCCCTCCCCTGGGTCTGTCCGTCTGTCCGTCCCCTGGGTCTGTCCGTCTGTCCCTCCCCTGGGTCTGTCCGTCTGTCCGTCCCCTGTAGCCTGTCGGTCTCTGCGCCACTCACTTGTACTCGAGTACGTCGTAGACGTGCCGGATCCAGTGCAGTGCCGGGTGGTTGTCCGACTCGGTCAGCGTGTGGAAGTACACGATCGTGTAGTCGTGCGCTACCAGTGGCTCCAGCAGGTAGATCAGGTACAGCAGCGCCTGCAGTAGTCAACACACGGGGTACAGGTACCTGCAGCGCCTGGGGTAGTCAACACAGGGGGTACAGGTACAGCAGCGCCTGGGGTAGTCAACACAGGGGGTACAGGCACAGCAGCGCCTGGAGTAGTCAACACAGGGGGTACCGCAGGTCAGCCGGGGATGGGGTGCAGCCAGCACCAGACGGGGGGGGGGGGGGGGCAGAGGGATACTGGTCCGTCTACAAAACTGTTGGGAGACCAGCGTGGCTCAGTGATAATCGCAGCACTTAATACCGTGGACAAAACAGACGGCCATTTCTGCGGCAGCCGGCACGGGTACGATATGCCCAGGCTGGCCCCCACACGGCCCTCAGGCGCCGTGTGACCACACGCAGCCGTACACCAGAGGGGGGAGCGGCGGCCCAGTGCTGGTACACAATCTGCGGCCTCCCTCACCCCGTCCAGGCCCGCGGCCTCCCTCACCCCGTCCAGGTCAGCGGCCTCCTCCCTCACCCCGTCCAGGTCAGTGGCCTCCCTCACCCCGTCCAGGCCAGCCTCCCCCTCACCTTGTACAGGCCAGCGGCCTCCCTCACCCCGTCCAGGCCAGCGGCCTCCTCCCTCACCCCGTCCAGGCCCGCGGCCTCCCTCACCCCGTCCAGGTCAGCGGCCTCCTCCCTCACCCCGTCCAGGTCAGTGGCCTCCCTCACCCCGTCCAGGCCAGCCTCCCCCTCACCTTGTACAGGCCAGCGGCCTCCCTCACCCCGTCCAGGCCAGCGGCCTCCTCCCTCACCCCGTCCCGGCCAGCGGCCTCCCTCACCCCGTCCCGGCCAGCGGCCTCCCTCACCATGTACAGGCCAGCGGCCTCCCTCACCATGTACAGGCCAGCGGCCTCCCTCACCATGTACAGGCCAGCGGCCTCCCTCACCTTGTCCAGGCCAGCGGCCTCCCTCACCCCGTCCAGGCCAGCGGCCTCCTCCCTCACCATGTACAGGCCAGCGGCCTCCTCCCTCACCATGTACAGGTCAGCGGCCTCCCTCACCCCGTCCCGGCCAGCGGCCTCCTCCCTCACCATGTACAGGTCAGCGGCCTCCCTCACCTTGTACAGGCCAGCGGCCTCCTCCCTCACCTTGTACAGGCCAGCGGCCTCCTCCCTCACCATGTACAGGTCAGCGGCCTCCCTCACCTTGTACAGGCCAGCGGCCTCCTCCCTCACCTTGTACAGGCCAGCGGCCTCCTCCCTCACCATGTACAGGTCAGCGGCCTCCCTCACCCCGTCCAGGCCAGCGGCCTCCCTCACCTTGTACAGGCCAGAGGTCTCCCTCACCCCGTCCAGACCAGCGGCCTCCTCCCTCACCATGTACAGGTCAGCGGCCTCCCTCACCTTGTACAGGCCAGCGGCCCCCCTCACCTTGTCGAGGTCAGCGGCCTCCCTCACCATGTACAGGCCAGAGGTCTCCCTCACCCCGTCCAGACCAGCGGCCTCCTCCCTCACCATGTACAGGCCAGCGGCCTCCCTCACCTTGTACAGGCCAGCGGCCTCCTCCCTCACCCCGTCCAGACCAGCGGCCTCCTCCCTCACCCCGTCCAGGCCAGCGGCCTCCTCCCTCACCATGTACAGGTCAGCGGCCTCCCTCACCTTGTACAGGCCAGCGGCCTCCCTCACCATGTACAGGTCAGCGGCCTCCCTCACCTTGTACAGGCCAGCGGCCCCCCTCACCTTGTCGAGGTCAGCGGCCTCCCTCACCATGTACAGGCCAGAGGTCTCCCTCACCCCGTCCAGACCAGCGGCCTCCTCCCTCACCATGTACAGGTCAGCGGCCTCCCTCACCTTGTACAGGTCAGCGGCCTCCCTCACCCCGTCCAGGCCAGCGGCCTCCTCCCTCACCATGTACAGGCCAGCGGCCTCCTCCCTCACCATGTACAGGTCAGCGGCCTCCCTCACCCCGTCCAGGTCAGCGGCCTCCTCCCTCACCATGTACAGGCCAGCGGCCTCCTCCCTCACCATGTACAGGTCAGCGGCCTCCCTCACCTTGTCGAGGTCGATCTCCGTGGCTCGGAACCACTTGCCGATGAAGCAGATGACGGGCCGACCGAAGCGGTCCTTGCCCGTCTGGTAGAGACAGCCGATGCCGGAGATCTCCGAGAGGTCCTCGGTCCGCGCGCGCCGCAGCAGCCGCTCGTACCTGACGACAGGGGGTACAGGGGAGGTCAGTCGGCGACTCGGCGCGCAGGTACCGCTCCTGTACCGTACCTGGACGGTACTGAGAGACACTATCAGTTAGGCACAGGTGGCGCCACCAGAGAGCGGAGCTCGCAACAGGCGGGGTAAAGTGCGTACCCGCCGTCTGAGCAGAGATTGCATACAGTGACCGGTTGAAGCAGTGGAAAAGATAAGACGGGCGACGGAGGAAAATCAGACCCCAGCAGGCGGCGGAGCTGACTGACCGCTGGAATAGCTTTAACACAGACCATTGGTCTTGTCTACCCTCCGGACCAGTCCACCGCCGCCGGAGGGCACATCCGAACATCTGTATTTAGCGCCTTGCGGACATCTACCATAGCTTATAGCTATCCTCCGGACCAGCCCACCCGGCTTCCTGACCACCGGACCGACAGTCACCCTCCCCCGAGCCGAGCTGATAGGACAGGTTCATAGGGCAGCTGGTCCCGCCGGGACACCGAGCCGAACTGATAGGACAGGTTCATAGGGCAGCTGGTCCCGCCGGGACACCGAGCCGAACTGATAGGACAGGTTCATAGGGCAGCTGGTCCCGCCGGGACACCGAGCCGAGCTGATAGGACAGGTTCATAGGGCAGCTGGGGCGTTCCACGACAAATCGACAAGTGCCCTGCACCCTCATATTTTATTTTTTGCTTAAAATTGGTCTAATTGGTTGTGATGGGCGGAGAAGCCAGCTGTGGCAAGGATTTTTTTTTTCTTCGAAGAACGGTTTCCGAGATATAGCCTCGGGCAATTCTTGGAGTTGGCGCTGCAGCCCTATGTTTGGCGGCCTATAACTCAGAAACTATTAGTTTTTTTTAGGATAAAACTTCATATGGTTCAACTCACAATCAACCAACAAACATTTTGGCTATCTCGGATTTTCAATTTTTGAAAATTTTGATCACGTGACCTTTTGTCCTATTTTTCGAAGAGTGACCTTGATATTTTCCCCACTGAAAGTTGCAATTTTGTCTGATGACGATTAAAGCCTTATCAATTGTCATTCATATGCGAAAATAAAAAAGTGGTTATCGCCCTGCGTTGACCTCAGGTCAGGTCATTTTTATGACCTGTCCATTATTACGAGCGGGAGCGACAGCGAGATCTCGAGAATAAAGCATGATAGCGACAAGCGGTAAACGGTAAAGGGTACACACGGATAAGGTCTATAATTTTTACTGAGGTCATTTTCAGGTCAGGTCAAAGATGACGTCACAGGAGCTAAAAGGAAGTCAAAATAGCAGCACTATACACATATATGAAGTTTTTCTCGAATAACTTTCAAGGTATCCCAGCTAGGAACAAACTAATAGCACCATCGTGATCCTCTCGTCGATCCGCATCGAAACATATGTATGTTGACCTCGAAAGGTCGAAAGGTCAAAAGTTGACCTTAGGTCACGTGATCTAAGGTCAACTTTTGACCTTTCGACCTTTCGAGGTCAACATACATATGTTTCGATGCGGATCGACGAGAGGATCACGATGGTGCTATTAGTTTGTTCCTAGCTGGGATACCTTGAAAGTTATTCGAGAAAAACTTCATATATATGTATAGTGCTGCTATTTTGACTTACTTTTAGCTCCTGTGACGTCATCTTTGACCTGACCTGAAAATGACCTCAGTAAAAATTATAGACCTTGTCCGTGTGTACCCTTTACCGTTTACCGCTTGTCGCTATCTTGCTTTATTCTCGAGATCTCGCTGTCGCTCCCGCTCGTAATAATGGACAGGTCATAAAAATGACCTGACCTGAGGTCAACGCAGGGCGATAACCACTTGTTTTATTATCGCATATGAATGACAATCGATAAGGCTTTAATCGTCATCAGACAAAATTGCAACTTTCAGTGGGGAAAATATCAAGGTCACTCTTCGAAAAAAGGACAAAAGGTCACGTGATCAAAATTTTCAAAAATTGAAAATCCGAGATAGCCAAAATGTTTGTTGGTTGATTGTGAGTTGAACCATATAAAGTTTTTGTCGTAAAAAACCAATAGTTTCTGAGTTATAGGCCGCCAAACATAGGGCTGCAGCGCGAACTCCAGGAATTGCTCGAGGCTATATCTCGGAAACCGTTGTTCGAAGAAAAAAATCCTTGCCACAGCTGGCTTCCCCGCCCATCACAACCCCTTACACCAGTTTTCAACGAAGAATAAAATATGAGGGTGCAAATTTAATTTTTTATTTGTCGATTTGTCGTGGAACGCCCCAGCTGGTCCCGCCGGGACACCGAGCCGAACTGATAGGACAGGTTTACAGGGCAGCTGGTCCCGCCGGGACACCGGGCCGAGCTGATAGGACAGGTTCATAGGGCAGCTGGTCCCGCCGGGACACCGAGCCGAACTGATAGGACAGGTTCATAGGGCAGCTGGTCCCGCCGGGACACCGGGCCGAACTGACAGGACAGGTTCATAGGGCAGCTGGTCCCGCCGGGACACCGAGCCGAACTGATAGGACAGGTTCATAGGGCAGCTGGTCCCGCCGGGACACCGAGCCGAGCTGATAGGACAGGTTCATAGGGCAGCTGGTCCCGCCGGGACACCGAGCCGAACTGATAGGACAGGTTTACAGGGCAGCTGGTCCCGCCGGGACACCGCCGTCTCCTCCAGAGGGATGGCTGCTCAGCCGCTGGGAGTGGGACGCACCGGTTACCAGCCATTGAGACGGCACCAGTCACCAGCCACCGGGACGGCACCAGTCACCAGTCACCGGGACGGCACCAGTCACCAGCCACTGGGGCGCACCAGTCACCAGCCACCGGGGCGGAGCCAGGCATCAGTCGGTGGTCGGCTCGGCACAGGTTCTCCTCATTTCAGCCCATCCCACGGCTCTGAAGTGACCTTGGACCGAAAAAGGCTAGCCCAGTATAAGCAGGCAACAGACACACGAGCGGTGCAGCTCTCTGTGATTCAACAAGTAACAACCACCTAAAAAGTGAAGCCAGGACTCTACCTCCCATTTTAAGCCAGTCATCAAGGTAAACCACTTATCAGGTTAACATTGAAAGCCAAAGACACGAAGCATATTCTAAGAGCGAGTTTCCAGCTGGCTGGCCCTGCTGGCCGCTCGGCGGTGGCTGTCGGGACCGGGCTCAGCCGACAGGTGACGGCGGGGGGCCCCAGTGGGCCCCGTCCCGGCCCGCCCAGTGGCCCTGTCCCGGCCCGCTCAGTGGGCCCCGTCCCGGCCCGCGGCTGACGGCGGGGGCCCTCAGTGAGCCCCGTCCCAGCCCGCTCAGTGAGCCCCGTCCGCCCAGTGGACCCGTCCCAGTCCGCTCAGTGAGCCCCGTCCGCTCAGTGGGCCCCGGCCCGTCCGCTCAGCCCGGCCGTCCGTGCAGCGCCGATCGAACTCTGTGCCGAGAGGAACTGGGTCGAAGCGGCGATCAATGGCCGTCGGTCGGCAGGTGGCGGACGGACGGCGGCGGCGGCGGCAGTATCGACCCGGCGGCCGGCCGGCGACCAGCGCGCGGCGCGGCACGCCGTACACACATACACAGCACACATAGGTACACAGCACAGCACAGCACAGCGCGGCACGCCGTACACACGTACACAGCACACATCACAGCACAGCACAGCACAGCGCGGCACGCGGTACCTACACTGGTACACAGCAAGCACACAGCACATATATACAATATGTGTACACAATACACACATACACAGCGCGGCACTCTGTACACTGGTACACAGCACAAACACACACACACAAATACACAGCATACAGGACGCGGCACCTCACAAACCCCACCGGACCACATACACCATGGGCGCACACCGTGGCACGGGGCACAGGGGGCAATCAGCGACAGACGCCCATCAACATCACAGACACCAGCACCCAGTCTGCCCAGGGACTCTGTGGCACCGTATCGAAATACGCGGGACGGGCGAGCTGGGAGGGTATGTACCACTGGAGGGGGTAATCTGGAGGACCCCCGGCCAGGTTTGGCCGCGGCCGGCGCCAAAGGCCACCGGCCCTGAACCCACCCGTCGGTCGATATAGTGCTGCCCCACAGACGACCGATAGGATCGGAGAAAATGAAACGGCCGCCCACAGCAATCGCACAGCCGGCGACTCGATTTTGTCTGGGTAACTAATGGAATCGTATATCCAACGATAATTCTTGACGATAATCGACCCAGTGACAGGACTAAAAAAAAAATCCTAGCAGCCCCGGCAGCACCACAGCCAAAAACGTACGTGTATCTAGTGATTTTGATAATGGCATGTCTATCTTTCACTATCGCGAGCTCCGTACGGTAAGTCATTTGCATATGCACATACACATTCACATTGCCGTCGCCCGTCAGTGTCATTTGCACAGTTCGCAATCAGTGGCGACGCTGTCCCACTGACCGTCCCACAGTCCGGTGTCCCACTGCCCACTGTCCCAGTATCTGTCCCGCTGACCGCTGTCCCAGTATCTGTCCCACTGCCCACTGTCCCAGTATCTGTCCCACTGCCCGCAGTCCCAGTATCTGTCCCACTGCCCGCTGTCCCAGTATCTGTCCCACTGCCCGCTGTCCCAGTATCTGCCCCACTGACCGCTGTCCCAGTATCTGTCCCACTGCCCGCTGTCCCAGTATCTGTCCCACTGCCCGCTGTCCCAGTATCTGCCCCACTGACCGCTGTCCCAGTATCTGTCCCACTGCCCGCTGTCCCAGTATCTGTCCCACTGACCGCTGTCCCAGTATCTGTCCCACTGACCGCTGTCCCAGTATCTGTCCCACTGACCGCTGTCCCAGTATCTGTCCCGCTGACCGCTGTCCCAGTATCTGTCCCACTGACCGTTCCTGTTTGCAGAGCTGCTCGGAGAGGCCGGCCTGCGCCGGGTCGGCGCCGCCGGCGCGCTGTCCCAGCAGCCGCTGCCGGTCCACGTCGTCCTCCATGTGGCTGAAGTCGCGCAGCCCGGAGGCCAGCCGCGCCGGCACCGGGTGCTCGTCGGCCGCCGACAGACCTGCGGCGGAGCGCGGGGGGAGCACCGGGTCAGACGGGGAGGGGGCTGCACAGACCTGCGGGGAGCACCGGGTCAGACGGGGGCGGGGCGGCACAGGACCGGACCTCCCGGTATCACAGGGCCGGACCTCCCGGTGTCACAGGAACCGCCGGAGCTCACCGATCATCATATGAGCCAGCCGGCGATGGATGCCTCGTGACGCCTCACGGCGATGTCTCACCCCGTGTCTCGTGGGACGCGTCCCGCCCGCTCGGTCGGCTCGGCCAGCGATCGGTCAGAGGGGCGTCCCACCGGGGTCAGAGGTGAGCGCGGCGATAGGCACGTCACCTCCCCCCCCCCGGCGCCCCCGGGCGGGTCAGAGGTCAAAGAGCGCGCCCACCGGCCGACTGGGGACGGCACCACAGGTAGGTATGTGCAACGGCACACAGCGGAGGGCGATCAGCGATTACCCGAGTATATTATCTATTAACAGTCAGAGCTAGGCGCAGTCAATAACTGCCGGCAGCTGTCAAATACAGCTGCCAATAACTGCCAATACTCGGCACACATAGAGATAAAATAATAATATCTACCCTGACAGACCGATCCATCATATCCAGGTATCAGAGGCCACTGTGAGTGTCCCGGCTGGCGCGCCGATACCGATACGGGCAGAGGGCCGCCTGTTACCGCCGTACACCCGGCTGCTGAGATAGGCCGGACCCGTGTACAGACTCCGTGACTCAGTGAGAGTCTGCGGCCCGGCCCTCCCCCAGTCGGCGCATCTCGCCGCGTCATGGTGACGCAGCTGCCGGGCCGGGCCCGGCCGGTTCCCCCAGGTAGAGGGACTGGGCACCGGCCGGGCCCGGCCGGTTCCCGCAGGTAGAGCCGAGGGACTGGGCACCTGCCGGGCCCGGCCGGTTCCCGTAGGTAGAGGACTGGGCACCTGTCGGGCCCGGCCGGTTCCCGCAGTAGAGGGACTGGGCACCTGCCGGGCCCGGTCGACCACGGGAGGAGACGGCTCTGCGGGCGGCACCCGCCGCAGCTGGCCCGGTGCCAACTCCCGGACGGAGGGGGGGGGGGGCGACGACCGAGCCACGGCGCGCGCCGGCTCCGAACTCGGAGAGATGGTCCGGGTCACACCATCAGCCGCGGGATTTCGCAACGCTGAGTTATAACGGGCCTTGTGGCGCCTATCGACCCCACCGCGAACAGCGCTCAGAGCCTACCAAAGGGGCAGACTGGGGCTGCAAGCGCCTGCAGAGAGAGAGTTGGCATACAGAGCTAGAAGAGGCCCCGAAAAGCTAACGGCATGGGATCACAAGCAGGGCTGCGGAGTCGATGGATTTTCAGTGAATCCGACTCCGACTCCGGGCAGAACTATCGACTCCGACCGACTCCAACTCCGATTCCCGACTCCGCAGCCCTGCCAGGTCTGCGGAGTCGATGGGTTTTTCGGTGACTCCGCCTCCGGCTCCCGTTTCCAAAATCGACTCCGACTCCGACTCCGGCCAGAACTGTCGACTCCGACCGAATCCAACTCTAACTCCGACTCGGACTTCGCAGCCCTGATCACAAGAGTCAAGTGACGGGTTAAACATGCCTACTTATTCATCTTCCTCAAAACTAACCGTGAGCTAACATTGATAACTTGGCTCTACCACCCGTTCACCTTTGTGATTAAAACACTGCCGTCTGTATGTTATGGACGGGGATCTGCCGGCACCAAACAGTGACGGAAATAGCCCGCCTAGCTGCCGACTGGCTGCCAGCCCCCGCCCCCAGAGATCGCACGACCAACATTGGTAGAAGGGCTATCCATAACTGAGTGCGCTGCTGCGGTGTCCCACAATGTGTAATAGGGAAACCCTTTGAATGAACGTGAAATGTCACAACACGCCGCGCGCCCTGCGCAGCGGTGAGGTGTTCGCAGTGAGTTCGTTCCGCGCGTCGGACCCGAGGTTTTCGCAGTGAGTTCGTTCCGCGCGTCGGACCCGTAATGTTCGCGGACGGTGTAGCCGCAGCTCGTCCTACTGACGGTGACCTATGGCCGAGAAATGTGCACCATATGTCCATCCATTGACAAATACATCGAGACGGAATAGCCCACTTGGCCCTGCATGAACGACGAAGCATCCTATGTTGGATATACATAATAATTATGTCAAACAGAAAACCGCGGGTGACGCCAGTCCACCGCAAAACAGCCGCGCTTTGGAGAAGTGTCATATCATAGTCCAATTGGAGAGAGGGTATTTGACGGGCAAAGAGGAACAACCAAACATTCTGCCGAGTCTGTGGCGAAACTACACGATAGGTACCACAATACAGAGATGTCGTATTTAGAGCTCACGTCAGTTAGTATGTGGCGTTATGTGACGTTACACAGTGAGTGGGCTGACGTCACTCAGAGTCAGGTGGCAGGCTGAGCCGTGGCCCGTTCAGCCAGGATTCCGACAGTGTGACTTCAGCGGCCCACCACCAGGCCCCCCGGCATGTCCGGAGCCGTCCGCTACACCTCCGGCTGGGACCACACCCGACTCAACAGGCCCGTCAGAGACGCCAGCGGCCTGACCGTCTGTGTGTTACATCACCGTCCGCCGGCGACACCCGCTGCCGCGGCCCGCCGCACTATGGTTGGAAACGGCCTCACGGATGGCCGGGGGTCAACGCGAAAAAATGTTTTGCCCATAACTTGTTAATGCGTAGACCGACTGCGATGAAACTTTGCATAGGTATACCAGTCTCTTTCGTGCATCATACAGTAACTCAGAAATGACGAGGTCACGTCACGTCACGCATGTGTGACGTCATCATTGCAAGTATGTTATAAGTCGCCTATGTCTTTCGTTATGTTATCGATATCGCGAGGCATTTTGAACATGTTTTGAATACTGCTATTACTGAATGGATATTGTTGTTATGCTTTAGCGCGAGAAATATCAACGTAGTGACGCACAGTGTCTTACTATTGGTCATAAAGGGTCAAAAATTTGGAGAAAGAGTATTTATGATTTTTTTTTAGATTGGGCAAAAAAGTAAGAAATAAAATGACGCGCGATCAAATGACAAAACATGCGTCAGATTAACCCGGCAGTTGCTGGGGTATTTCCCCATCCGCCGTTTGCCGGGGGGGGGGGGGGCGTTCAACGCCCCCAGCCGATAACTCGCGAACAAATAGGCGCAGCGAAACGCACGAGGCGCGGCAAACGAAAGAAGAACGCGACGAGACGATTCACATGAATACTTTAAAGCTGAATTTCGAGGTCACAGGTCGGGTCAAAGTCAGGTCAAACACTTGAAATCGGGCTTTCAGTAGCATGGACTTTAGAACCTCGCAATCGGTGCCTCGCGTTTCGCGTTTCGATTATATCGTCATCAGTTGGTCCTAAATAAATTCAGTCATCAGTTGGTCCTAAACAATCTGTCACAACTGTCACAACTGTCACAACCCTTCATATAAGTGCTAAAAGAGTGTCAGATCAATGTAGGGGTCAGTCAAACATAGGCCACTGGCCAGGGTCAAAGTCAGGTCAATCAGGTAAGCACATAACCCCGAAAATTAAAACTGGTACCTATTCGCAGCCCATGCATGACACATGTTTTATGGGTACTTTTGGGCGTAGAACACGATGGTGACATTCATTTTATCATACGAGTACCTGGCTGGTTGAAAAAAGATCAATTTCAGAAATGCATGCGTCATGGTCGTGAAGTAGTCACGAGAAATTGCCAACATTCAGTTCAAGATTTTGGAAAATGTAGAACGATGATCAAAAACCATAGATAGCCATTTGATTTGCCATGGTATTGACAGTGTAATGGCGTTTACAGCATGTCTGTATGTCTGCTCTGTCGGTGGATATCCATATCCATACTCCAGGATATCCATACACGTTTGCACGATATCCATACTCCAGGTGCAGGGGTGAGCAGTTACTTCTTACGAGGGGTGCGGAGTCGAAGTCAGAGTCGGAGTCAGAGTCGCCCAGAGTCGTGGCAACGAGCCAGGAGTCGGAGTCGGAGTCGGGGTCGGTCAGGAGCCCGCAGTGGAAGTCGGAGTCGGTCCGAATCGGAACAGCTCCATCACGACTCCGAAACACTGGCAGGGGTCCGGAGTCGGAGACAGAGTCGGCCGGAGTCATGGCAACGAGTCAGGAGTCGGAGTCGTAGTCGGAGTCGGATTTGGCGCCACCACGACTCCGCAACCCTGCTTCTTACCATCATTTATAAGGATAAGCGATTGCAAGACTGACGAGCCGACCTGGTGCTAACGAAGCGACGGGTAGGTACGCCTCGGGAGATGAAGCTTCATGGACGATTTTGCGCACAAGTGCGCAGTCTGCTTTTACGTTCCCCTAACGCAGAATTGAACAGAGATTTATTCTGCCAAAAAGCTCAATGGAGGTCGATGGAGAACTTTTTGTATGTCAAATGAAACATAAACGTAATTTTGCAAATATTGCTGTGGTGACACTGCAAACAGAATGCAATGCCGTTCCTGATTTTGAACACGCATGGGAAAAAGAGTCACTCCACTCGATAGCCAACATAACAAGGATTATTTTGATATATAATAATCCAGTTTTACAACGTCATGGAGGTACTCCACATGCTATCAACAGCGCGGTTGTTTAAACCTTTGACGGCGCACCAAAAAAGTCACTATCAGGAACTCCCGATTCCACGTACAATAATGGAGACTAAATGCGCAACTAAATAATTTTTGCTGCCCAATTCAAAACATTTCATCAATTTCCAACAGAATGACACCCCAAATATACATATATTCCGAAATTGCCCACGGCCATCCGTGAGGCCGTTTCCAACCATAGTGCGCCGGCGCGGCGGCGCCGTCTGTTAGAGGCATTACCCATCAGATATCCGTCTTTAATGTCTGTACGCTGTGACCGCGACATGTCTCCGCAGCGCAGCTCAGTCATAAATCGCCGGTGACCGCCGCTGCGGCGGCTCCCGTCTGTCCGGCAGGCGGGGGCCGGTGTTGAACAGACCGCTCGGACCGCCGCAGTCGGCTCAGCCTCAGCGGGTGATCGGTGCAGAGCTGAGCCGCTCGGCGACCACAGGCGACCGCATACTAGCGGAAGCTACGTGAAAAATGGCGGGAGTAATCGTAACAAATAATATATATTTGTCCTACTCTACCTCCTAAATGTGCTACGGTAAACTGCACGGGCGGAGACCGGCTCCCCGCCGTGTCCCCGTGATCCGATATGGACCCCTATCGGGCCGGGCGGCTCGACAACAGGTGCCGGCCGTCGACTGGCCCTCCCCTCCCTCCCCTCCCCGGCCCCCGCGACCAGCTGACACCGACACGCACACACACGGCGGGAGAGTCACAGCGTGTGTGAGTGGGGGGGGGGGGCGTCCAATGACCTCTGGGCTGTGCGCACACCGACACACTGACCTTGGTAGCTGTGCTGTGCGGCACAGTGTGGCACACTGACCTTGGTAGCTGTGCTGTGCGGCACAGTGTGACACTGACCTTGGTAGCTGTGCTGTGCGGCACAGTGTGGCACACTGACCTTGGTAGCTGTGCTGTGCGGCACAGTGTGGCACACTGACCTTGGTAGCTGTGCTGTGCGGCACAGTGTGACACTGACCTTGGTAGATGTGCTGTGCGGCACAGTGTGACACACTGCCCTTGGTAGCTGTGCTGTGCGGCACAGTGTGACACACTGACCTTGGTAGCTGTGCTGCGGGTTGTCGATGATTCGGATGGCCCTGTCTGGTATCACCGGCGCGCCAAAGTCGTCTCCGATGTCCTCCTGCCGGTCACCAGACAGAGGTCAGAGGTCAGGTCAGAGGTCAGTCCAGAGGTCAGCGGTCAGGGGTCAGCCCAGAGGTCAGAGGTCAGGCCAGGGGTCAGTTCACAGGCCAGGGGTCAGATCAGAGGCCAGCGGTCAGGTCAGAGGTCAGGTCAGGGGTCAGGTCAGGGGCCAGTTCACGGGTCAGCGGTCAGTCCAGAGGTCAATTGAGAGGTCTGTACCTTATCAGTTCAGGCCTCAGGGATCAGGATTCAGGTTGAGAAAACCATGGTAGGAGAGACACGCAACGACACTGACACTGACACCGTGGACAAGGCACACATCAGAGACCCTGCGAAATCGGAGCGGCATTCACAGGTGACGCCGGCGCCAGGTGGGCTGTGGATTGCCGTGGGAGCGTCCGACGGCCATTCAGAAAACCTTGGTTACTGCACCGTTTCACCATTCAGGTGAAACCGGACCGCTGGAAAGTGCCGCACGGCCGCGGTCCACTGTAGACGTTACACGGACCAGTGAGGGCTGAGACGGGGCGCCGGCCCCCAGCTGACGGGCCGCCGGACGGCTCGGAGCGGCGGGCCGCCCCGACGGCGGCTCGGACAGTCCCTGGCTCCGACCGCCGGCGGCTCAGAGTCAGACAGTCCCAGTGACCGGGCCCTGGCTCGGATAGTCTCTGTGAGGGCCCAGCCCTGGCTCGGGCAGTCCCTGTGACTGGGCTCTAGCTCAGACAGTCTCTGTGAGGGCCTGTCTCAGTCCCTGTGGCGGCCCTGTCTCAGACAGTCCCTGTGGGGGCCCTGTCTCAGTCCCTGTGGGGGCCCTGGTTCAGGCAGTCCCTGTAAGGGTCTGTCTCAGTCTCTATAAGGGTCTGTCTCAGACAGTCCCTGTGGGGGCCCTGTCTCAGACAGTCTCTGTAAGGGTCTGTCTCAGTCTCTGTGAGGGCCCTGTCTCAGTCTCTGTCAGGGTCTGTCTCAGACAGTCCCTGTGGGGGCCCTGTCTCGGACCGCAGAGCGGCGCGCTGTTCCCAGCACTGTCCACAGCGCCGGGACAGCCGGGAGCGGTCTCGGCCGGCTGACACTTTCACACCCGGCCCAGCCCGGGTACCGCACACCACCTCCGGCGCGCGGGCACGGCGCGCCGGCAGTCTGTCGCAGACGGTGCGGCACACGGCTGACACGCTGGCGGCGGCGCCGCGGGCCCGCCCCGCCCCGCCCCGCCCCGCCCGCGTGGCGTGACGCTGGGATGTCTCGGAGGCTGTCCGCTAATACTCTGTCCCGGCCCGGGAGGGTGACGGTAGCCCAGATACCGGTGCGTATCTGAGACACCACAGTGCGGTTCTCCCAGGTGCGGCCGGCTGCTGACGGGCGCGCCGGGTGGCGCCGCTGCACATACGTCACTGCTCGTCACTGTGGCGCCGCCGCACGTCACTGTGGCGCCGCCGCACGTCACTGTACGTCACTGGGGCGCCGCTGCGCGTCACTGTACGTCACTGGGGCGCCGCCGCGCGTCACTGTACGTCAGTACACGTCACGTCGACTGATGTCACCCTGCCTCCCCCCTCCCGTGGAGCCGACGTGACGGAGGGTTCAATGCTCAGCTTGTCGTTGCGACACAACGTGACTTAAGCTGCTGATAATGGGTTTATGATGTTTTCGGCACGTCAGGCCGTCGTGGAAAGGTTCTTACGAAACTAGACAAAGGTGAGAAATAGGATATCAATGTCCTAACACATTTCAAAGGGAAAAGCGTCACGAGTCGTTTCATTTCATCGGGGTGGCGGACATAAAACGACTTAGACTAGATTAAAGAGACAGGTGAGGTATGAAAGATAATAATCGTCATCTCTCTGGTTTCCGCTTTACCACGATTGATACCAGAGTACCATCCATTGGTAGCATAATGTTTAGACAACGTTGCAGTGACCTGCGTTCTGACTGCACGCAGGCCACTGCAGCGCGCGTGTAGACAAAGCCATCTATCTGAGCTGGCCAGGGAAGTGGCGCCCGCCCGCCGCCGGCCGCCGGCTGTCGGCCCGGGTCCGTGCCCGGGGACCCACTCAGACTGCCGGCCGCCGGCCCAGCGGCGAGGGAGCCCTGTAGCTGTGTGGACCGGCGCACCTGTGCCGGGTGAGCCAGCGCATGCCTTCCCCACCGCTCGGCACAGGTGCTCGAGGGGGACATAGGCGGTCCCATGGGGGGGGGGGGCACGGGGGCCATGGCCCCCCCTTTGGTGCTGAAAGGTGGGGCCATACTATCTTTTGGCCCCACCTTTCAGATCGAACAAAAGTCCTAGAAAATCTTTTCGTATGTTTCATTTTCTTTCTTGCACCATCAAAGAACGTAAATTTCACTCATGAGTGGGCTCAGTTTCGCATTCTGTCAATTTGGCGGTCAGCGTCGCTGGCACCGGTTCACGAGTATGGCCGGATCTTACACGGAATATCAGCGTGGATTTACTTGAGGCTCTCGTAGGCCCAGCAATGGCTGGCATGAGACCCTCTTCGGCAGTGGCGGGTGGGCCCTGCTAAAGGAGATTGGCTCTAAGACACTAAAGTAAGACCTCATGGGTTGGTGCTGTGCACCTCAGAAGCCCGGTGGTGACGCCGTATGCCGGCTTGGTTTCGTGGGATTGGCGTGGGACCTCCGGGGCCTGCATAGAGTTTGCGTGAGCTAGTATGTAATCTCAGAGGCATGTGTGTAATGTGTACACAGTGGCGGTCGCGGGGGGGGGGGGGGGGGGGGGGCTAACAGCCAATGGGCCCCCATATAGGTGTATGGGGCCCTGGCAATTATTCGATCGTCACGAGGCTCAAAAAACCCACGCCCAGCTATCAATATAGCTCCCACACCGGTCTTTGAGCGTCTTACACTGACCTCTGAGCAGTGATGCCATCCACATTTTTGCTCCATCCCAAGATCTCGACCAGAATTTCCCAAGATTCTCGTCTCGAATCCCAAGACTACCCATCGCATATCCTTAGGAGTACCCCAAGTAAATCCATAGCTTATTTTGGACATATTAGTGTGTTTAGTATTCAACTTTCTCTTCTTCGGGTCCACCCTTGTCCTTATTGGCGTATTTACAGCAGCTAATGTACCTAGAGGCCGGGGGGAGGGGGAGGGGGTCGACCGGACTCCTACAGCTGATCGGTTCCTGACTGAGTATATGTAAGAGCTTCACGAAAAATGAAGATGCTGGCCTAGACAACATGAAGCCGGTGGTATCTGCTATTATGGTCAAGTCATTCGTCGACCGTCAATGGTGGGTCAAGGACCCAAAACACAAAGTTCGAATCTGTTAGAACTTCTTGGAAACGAAGTCTGTGGCATTTTGGAGTTATTTCGAAATTTGTCTCGTGACACATTTGGAGAAGCTACATAGGGTCATGTAGAGTTCGGAGTGTTCGACGTAGGTATCAAAATTTCATTTTACAGAGCACCGAATTTATTGTCTTGTGAAAGTTTAACTCATACAAAACAAGCATGAATTAAAGTATATAACATAAGACAATCTTGCTTGAATTTACTTGAATTGTGCCCGTCTAAAAACAATATCAAAACTAGAACACATAGCCGGAAACTACATCTTTTGAAATAACATTTTTCCTTTCAAATTATTTAACAGACGGAGCACGAGAAATTTAGGTCGTAAAAAGGCGCAACCTGATTCCGTGCTGAAACTAATGCAGCACCGCCTCTTTACCCCCTCCCCCGTTTCAGCACGTGCTCGCGCCGTCTTCTGGTAAGAGGAGCACAAGCTTGCTGATCGGCCTTCTAAGAATGGAGGTGCTCGTCCTCACTTCTGCGACACGAACATTGCCCTTTGCGTCAGGATACACGTTGATCACTCTTCCCATTTTCCATTCGTTGCGAGACGAGTCTGCGTCTACCAGGAGAACCATGTCATTTTCACGCAAATTTCTCTGAGGCTGGATCCACTTTTGTCGTACTTGAAGTGAACTGACGTATTCCTTCTTCCAACGGCGCCAGAATTCCGTCGCAAGGTACTGAACTAGTTTCCATCGCTTTCTTGAAAACGAGTCGGCTTCTGAGAAGATACCGGGTGGCAATGGCTGTGCCGAACGGTAGATGAGCAGATGGTTAGGTGTGAGCGCTTCCAAGTCCCTTGGGTCATCTGAGACAGGTGTGAGCGGGCGTCCGTTCAAAATCGCCTCTACCTCACACATGAAGGTGGATAAGCACTCATCCTCTAAAGTCTTTTGCTGCAGCAGAAAGTTCAATATTTTCCTCGTTTCGCGAATCAGGCGTTCCCATGTTCCTCCGTGGTGCGAGGCGCCCGGTGCGTTAAAAATCCATTTTACCTCTTTCTGCAGAAGTTCGTCTTCTATTTGCTGCTGATTCCAGTTGCGGATCTCTTCCTTCAGCTCCCGGCGGGCTCCCACGAAATTTGTGCCGTTGTCACATCTGATTATCCTTACTGCCCCTCGTCTGGCCATGAAACGACGCAACGCGTTTATGAAGGAATGAGTCGTCAAGGAGTGTACAACTTCCAGATGTACAGCGCGGATTTTTTGGCACACAAATATGACACCAAACCGTTTCACTGTGGCTCTACCTCTTTTGACATAAAAAGGTCCGAATAAGTCGACTCCAGTGACCGCGAATGGTGTCAAGTCCGGGGTGACGCGGTCTTGCGGGAGATCAGCCATTTTCTGTGTTAAAGGACGGCCGTGTAGTCTGCGACAGAATACGCAACGTGACAGCACGCGGCGCACCGCAGCCATTCCGCGAATAATCCAGAACCGTTCCCTAATCACTGACAAGACATGGAGACGTCCACTGTGGCCGATCTTGCGATGTGTGTCTGAGATAATCAAATCAGTCACATGAGACCTTGCTGGCAGAATCGCTGGGTGTGATGCTTCTGAGGCGTAAGCATGACTTAGTCGACCACCGACCCGTAGCACACCGCTCTCACAGACTGGATCTAGCCGGTAGATGTTACTCTTCTTGGTTATTTTCTTGTGCTCTGGAGAATGAAGAACGGCCAACTCTTCTGAAAAGGATCCTGCTTGAACGTACTTGACAATGCACATTTCAGCACTTTGAAGTTCTTCGACAGACAAGTCACTCGCTATGCCTCCATTGGTGACGTTTCTGCTCTCTGGCTTCTCTTCCTTCTTGATACGATCACGCAAGACTTGTTTCAATCGCATATAGTAAGCTACAGCTCTTTTAAGGCGGTACCAGTTGGAATAATGTTGCAGTAGCTTGTCAGTTGGCTGTGTTTCGGTGGACGTCGCTGACACCAGTTTTGGCATTTTTACTTCAGGGTCACCATCCATCACTGTTTCAAGTTCTTTGAATGGCTGCTCTGGCCACTTATCTTCAGGAAGCGTCAGGAACTCTGGCCCACGAACCCACATCGACTCATTCAAAAACTTTTCCACCGTTGTGCTTCGTGAGGCTTCATCAGCAGGATTCACCTTTGAAGTAACGTATTTCCACTGGTTCTCGTCGCTGTGTTCAAGAATGTAACCAATGCGATTTGCTACATAAATATGAAATCTACTTGTTTTGTTCTTGATATAACGAAGAACAGTTGTACTATCGGTCCAGAAAACTGTCGAGTCGACAACTGTTTGGAGTTCTTCTTTCACAACTAAGTCAAGGCGCACTGCTAAGGTCGCAGCAGTGAGCTCCATTCGAGGAATGGTGACACTTTTCAGCGGCGCCACGCGCGCCTTTCCAATGAGAAAAGAGCAGTGGATTTTCCCGTTATCATCCACTTGTCGGAGGTATGATACCGCGCCGTAACCAGCTTGGCTAGCATCTGCGAAGTGATGTATTTGTGTGGATAAGACACGACCAAAATCTCCTGGTTTCATGCACCGCTCTACACTGAAGAGTTCCAGCTGGCAAAGGGAGGAGTGCCACCGAAGCCATTTTTGTTGCAGAGGCATGGGAATAATGTCATCCCAGCCAAGATTCAATGTACATAGTTCTTGAAGGATCAATTTTGGCACCATCAAAACGGGAGCAGCGATTCCCAATGGGTCAAAAAATGAGCTTGTTGCCGAAAGAATCCCACGTCTTGTGAGTGGTTTTGACTGGATTTTCACCTTGAATCTGAACCTATCTTGCTGAAAGTCCCATAGAACGCCGAGTGCACGCTCCGCCGTTGTGTCACACCCCAGCTCGGCTCCTTTCATATTCTCCGTTTTGTCATGGTCTGGTAACGATTCTGTCACTTCTCGATGATTGCTAACGAACTTGGTGAGATTAAATCCCCCCATGGCGCACATTTGCTTGAGTTCGCGGACCAGTGTCACTGCCTTATTTATGCTTTCCACCGACTTCAGACAGTCATCAATATAAAAAGAATATTGTATAGTCTTCGCCGCATCCGGACTGAACGTGTGATTGTCTTGTGCACATTTTTGTAGTGCGAAGTTGGCACAACCCGGAGACGATACACTGCCAAAAATGTGTTTTTTCATGACAAAGTCCTCCAATTCCCTTGTTGTATCACCCTCTGGCCACCATAGGAATCTGTAGAAATTGACGTCGGTTGATGGTACTTGTACCTGATAAAACATTTCTTGAATATCCGCCATAAATGCGACCCGTTCCTTCCTGAACCTGATGAGAACACCGATCAAAGTATTTGACAAATTTGGACCCTGTAGAAGCTGATCATTCAAGGATGTTCCGCCGTACCTTGCCGAACCGTCAAAAACCACTCTTGTTTTCTCGGGCTTAGCCGGGTGCTGAACCGAATGATGGGGAATATACCACATTTTGCCTTCTTCTGGAGGATATGCCATTGACGCTGGCTCGGCGTGACCCTTTTCTAATAGCCCGTTCATGTATTGAGTGTAACGAATGTGGAGGGCTGGGTCTCTTTCCAGTCTCTTTTTGAGACCTATGGCTCGTCTCTCTGCTAGGGCTCTGTTATTTGGAAGCCGAACGCTTTCAGCCTTAAACGGAAGGGCTATTTCATAACTACCGTTCTTCAATTGCACACTCCCTTCTACCTTGGCCTTCCAAAGTTTATCTTCTTGTGACATGTTTTCATACCCCGTCATCGTAGCAGTCTTATCTGTGAAATCATTGTTGAATATTGTGATCATCATTTCTTGTAACTTTTCTGTTTCCAATCGTACTGTGTTCACTTTAACGTCTGCTGCATTGTAACTGACTTCGGACATTACCTTGGGGCCAACCACCGTCCAGCCCAAGCAAGTTTTCAAGGCGTAAGGGCCACCGTTTTGGCTGTGGATTACCTCCCATGGCTCCATTGCTTTCGGGCAGTCGCATCCTATTAATATTCCAATTTTATCCGCCTTTACTTCTGGGATTTCAATTTCTAGATAAGACCACTGTTTCTTCAAACTTGTTCTTGCTACATCTTGGTCTCCAACTGGAATGGTTGGTATCGTATATACTGGTGGTAACGGAAGAGAGTTGTTACCGTTGACATCAGCTACATGTAACCCCGTTACCAGTCGACTTTTAACCGGGCTAGCTGTATGTTCTACTGTGGTAATAGTGAGCAGCGTCTCTTCTCCAGTTTGACCCAACTGACTTCGTAACTCTTCCGTTATGAATGTACTTTGACTGCCGTTATCCAAAAATGCATATGTCTTGACAGGGGCTTTGCCTGAGACGCTTAATTGTACCGGCAAGACTGGTAGAACTGTGCCTGAAGTGACTGCCTTGGTCCCACCACATAATTTGTTTTGTGGAGTACTTGAATTTGGATCGGTACTGACACTGTCATGGTGAGGCGGAAGGGAAGGTCTGGTGACGGGTTTGAATTCCACGTGCAGTAGAGATGGATGCCTTTTGTCACAATGACGACATTGCATTCGCCTTCTACAATGTTTCGATACATGATTTGGACGAAGACAAGCAAAACAAAGTCGTTTCTCCTTTATTTTCTCGATCCTTGCAGATATATCCATCTGAAGTAGAACAGGACATGATTCAATTGTATGACATTCGTCACATGCGTAGCATCGCACGTCTGAATTTGTGGTTGCAGTGTAAAATGTTGATTTGAACGATTTTCCGTGGCTTGATTTTGCATCCATCATTTCTTTCACTCCAAACACTGGGTCGCTGCATATACACACTTGCCGCTCCACAAATTCAACTATATCTCCAAAATCTGACTTCATATTTTGTTGCGAACTTTCAAACACTAGCTGACGCCATTTTTCTTGCAACTGATATGGTAACTTGCCAACGATTTTCTGAAGATTCCTAGGATGATTTACCTCGCTGAGAGCGCCCAGAGATTCCATTGCATTTTTACAGCTTCGAATTATAATTGAAAAATCTTCCAAACAGTCAACATCCAATGATTTCATCTGCGGCCAAGAGAGAATTTTATCAACATAAGCAGAAGAAATGCGATGCTCGTCGCCATACTTGCGATCCAGTGCCGCCCTGGCATCCTTGTAGCCTCTGTCTGGCTGTAAGTGCATATATCCTTTCACGATTTCATGTGGTTTTCCTGTTACGCTTTGAAGCAAGAAATAAAGTCTTTCGGCGTCGTTCTCAGTTTGGGTTTCGATACGGCTTATAAATGAACGGATAAACATAGGGTATTCCATGGGATCACCCTTAAATTTCGTTATTTCGGTCTTCGGTAGGGAACTTCTTCGTTGTTGTCGTAACATAGTTTCTGCCATGTCGTACATTTGCGCACCGCACGTCTTGCTGTGACCAACATCAGAGTGAACAAATTGTGAAGATGTGCCAGGAACCTGAATTTGATGTAAATGAGTTGTTTCATCAGTATTTTCCATTATATCACTCGCAGCGAAATATTTTTCACGGGCATGAATGGCTGCTAATTCTTCTTCAATGTTTAATTGCTCTTGTCGTAATTTTAGACGTAACTCTTCCTCGAGTAGACGCCGTTTTTCTTCAAGAATGCTCGATCGTGCTTCTAGCTCCGCCCTTTTCGCCGTGTCGACGGCTCGCTGATTTTTAATGAAACTTGATGACGAAGACGTTGAAATTTGTGACGCACTATCTTCAGGTTCAATGTCCATTTGTGAAGTCTTGTGTGATGAGATGAGTCTTTTAATGAGGTCGTCTTTCGTTCCTGTTGTTTTTAGTCCCCTTTCTTGCAATAAAATTTTCAACACCTTCTTGGTCTTCGTGTTGTATGCTTCCATCTTCAATTCTCTTATGAAATTTAAGTTACTTTATCTTAAAATCGTCTTATACGACCATATAACTACTAATCTACATTACTTTACTTGTATTGTTTTTAGACGGGCACAATTCAAGTAAATTCAAGCAAGATTGTCTTATGTTATATACTTTAATTCATGCTTGTTTTGTATGAGTTAAACTTTCACAAGACAATAAATTCGGTGCTCTGTAAAATGAAATTTTGATACCTACGTCGAACACTCCGAACTCTACATAAGTCTAAAAACATTCAGTGAGGTAAAGAGGCGGTGCTGCATTAGTTTCAGCACGGAATCAGGTTGCGCCTTTTTACGACCTAAATTTCTCGTGCTCCGTCTGTTAAATAATTTGAAAGGAAAAATGTTATTTCAAAAGATGTAGTTTCCGGCTATGTGTTCTAGTTTTGATATTGTTTTTAGACGGGCACAATTCAAGTAAATTCAAGCAAGATTGTCTTATGTTATATACTTTAATTCATGCTTGTTTTGTATGAGTTAAACTTTCACAAGACAATAAATTCGGTGCTCTGTAAAATGAAATTTTGATACCTACGTCGAACACTCCGAACTCTACATAAGTCTAAAAACAATACAAGTAAAGTAATGTAGATTAGTAGTTATATGGTCGTATAAGACGATTTTAAGATAAAGTAACTTAAATTTCATAAGAGAATTGAAGATGGAAGCATACAACACGAAGACCAAGAAGGTGTTGAAAATTTTATTGCAAGAAAGGGGACTAAAAACAACAGGAACGAAAGACGACCTCATTAAAAGACTCATCTCATCACACAAGACTTCACAAATGGACATTGAACCTGAAGATAGTGCGTCACAAATTTCAACGTCTTCGTCATCAAGTTTCATTAAAAATCAGCGAGCCGTCGACACGGCGAAAAGGGCGGAGCTAGAAGCACGATCGAGCATTCTTGAAGAAAAACGGCGTCTACTCGAGGAAGAGTTACGTCTAAAATTACGACAAGAGCAATTAAACATTGAAGAAGAATTAGCAGCCATTCATGCCCGTGAAAAATATTTCGCTGCGAGTGATATAATGGAAAATACTGATGAAACAACTCATTTACATCAAATTCAGGTTCCTGGCACATCTTCACAATTTGTTCACTCTGATGTTGGTCACAGCAAGACGTGCGGTGCGCAAATGTACGACATGGCAGAAACTATGTTACGACAACAACGAAGAAGTTCCCTACCGAAGACCGAAATAACGAAATTTAAGGGTGATCCCATGGAATACCCTATGTTTATCCGTTCATTTATAAGCCGTATCGAAACCCAAACTGAGAACGACGCCGAAAGACTTTATTTCTTGCTTCAAAGCGTAACAGGAAAACCACATGAAATCGTGAAAGGATATATGCACTTACAGCCAGACAGAGGCTACAAGGATGCCAGGGCGGCACTGGATCGCAAGTATGGCGACGAGCATCGCATTTCTTCTGCTTATGTTGATAAAATTCTCTCTTGGCCGCAGATGAAATCATTGGATGTTGACTGTTTGGAAGATTTTTCAATTCTAATTCGAAGCTGTAAAAATGCAATGGAATCTCTGGGCGCTCTCAGCGAGGTAAATCATCCTAGGAATCTTCAGAAAATCGTTGGCAAGTTACCATATCAGTTGCAAGAAAAATGGCGTCAGCTAGTGTTTGAAAGTTCGCAACAAAATATGAAGTCAGATTTTGGAGATATAGTTGAATTTGTGGAGCGGCAAGTGTGTATATGCAGCGACCCAGTGTTTGGAGTGAAAGAAATGATGGATGCAAAATCAAGCCACGGAAAATCGTTCAAATCAACATTTTACACTGCAACCACAAATTCAGACGTGCGATGCTACGCATGTGACGAATGTCATACAATTGAATCATGTCCTGTTCTACTTCAGATGGATATATCTGCAAGGATCGAGAAAATAAAGGAGAAACGACTTTGTTTTGCTTGTCTTCGTCCAAATCATGTATCGAAACATTGTAGAAGGCGAATGCAATGTCGTCATTGTGACAAAAGGCATCCATCTCTACTGCACGTGGAATTCAAACCCGTCACCAGACCTTCCCTTCCGCCTCACCATGACAGTGTCAGTACCGATCCAAATTCAAGTACTCCACAAAACAAATTATGTGGTGGGACCAAGGCAGTCACTTCAGGCACAGTTCTACCAGTCTTGCCGGTACAATTAAGCGTCTCAGGCAAAGCCCCTGTCAAGACATATGCATTTTTGGATAACGGCAGTCAAAGTACATTCATAACGGAAGAGTTACGAAGTCAGTTGGGTCAAACTGGAGAAGAGACGCTGCTCACTATTACCACAGTAGAACATACAGCTAGCCCGGTTAAAAGTCGACTGGTAACGGGGTTACATGTAGCTGATGTCAACGGTAACAACTCTCTTCCGTTACCACCAGTATATACGATACCAACCATTCCAGTTGGAGACCAAGATGTAGCAAGAACAAGTTTGAAGAAACAGTGGTCTTATCTAGAAATTGAAATCCCAGAAGTAAAGGCGGATAAAATTGGAATATTAATAGGATGCGACTGCCCGAAAGCAATGGAGCCATGGGAGGTAATCCACAGCCAAAACGGTGGCCCTTACGCCTTGAAAACTTGCTTGGGCTGGACGGTGGTTGGCCCCAAGGTAATGTCCGAAGTCAGTTACAATGCAGCAGACGTTAAAGTGAACACAGTACGATTGGAAACAGAAAAGTTACAAGAAATGATGATCACAATATTCAACAATGATTTCACAGATAAGACTGCTACGATGACGGGGTATGAAAACATGTCACAAGAAGATAAACTTTGGAAGGCCAAGGTAGAAGGGAGTGTGCAATTGAAGAACGGTAGTTATGAAATAGCCCTTCCGTTTAAGGCTGAAAGCGTTCGGCTTCCAAATAACAGAGCCCTAGCAGAGAGACGAGCCATAGGTCTCAAAAAGAGACTGGAAAGAGACCCAGCCCTCCACATTCGTTACACTCAATACATGAACGGGCTATTAGAAAAGGGTCACGCCGAGCCAGCGTCAATGGCATATCCTCCAGAAGAAGGCAAAATGTGGTATATTCCCCATCATTCGGTTCAGCACCCGGCTAAGCCCGAGAAAACAAGAGTGGTTTTTGACGGTTCGGCAAGGTACGGCGGAACATCCTTGAATGATCAGCTTCTACAGGGTCCAAATTTGTCAAATACTTTGATCGGTGTTCTCATCAGGTTCAGGAAGGAACGGGTCGCATTTATGGCGGATATTCAAGAAATGTTTTATCAGGTACAAGTACCATCAACCGACGTCAATTTCTACAGATTCCTATGGTGGCCAGAGGGTGATACAACAAGGGAATTGGAGGACTTTGTCATGAAAAAACACATTTTTGGCAGTGTATCGTCTCCGGGTTGTGCCAACTTCGCACTACAAAAATGTGCACAAGACAATCACACGTTCAGTCCGGATGCGGCGAAGACTATACAATATTCTTTTTATATTGATGACTGTCTGAAGTCGGTGGAAAGCATAAATAAGGCAGTGACACTGGTCCGCGAACTCAAGCAAATGTGCGCCATGGGGGGATTTAATCTCACCAAGTTCGTTAGCAATCATCGAGAAGTGACAGAATCGTTACCAGACCATGACAAAACGGAGAATATGAAAGGAGCCGAGCTGGGGTGTGACACAACGGCGGAGCGTGCACTCGGCGTTCTATGGGACTTTCAGCAAGATAGGTTCAGATTCAAGGTGAAAATCCAGTCAAAACCACTCACAAGACGTGGGATTCTTTCGGCAACAAGCTCATTTTTTGACCCATTGGGAATCGCTGCTCCCGTTTTGATGGTGCCAAAATTGATCCTTCAAGAACTATGTACATTGAATCTTGGCTGGGATGACATTATTCCCATGCCTCTGCAACAAAAATGGCTTCGGTGGCACTCCTCCCTTTGCCAGCTGGAACTCTTCAGTGTAGAGCGGTGCATGAAACCAGGAGATTTTGGTCGTGTCTTATCCACACAAATACATCACTTCGCAGATGCTAGCCAAGCTGGTTACGGCGCGGTATCATACCTCCGACAAGTGGATGATAACGGGAAAATCCACTGCTCTTTTCTCATTGGAAAGGCGCGCGTGGCGCCGCTGAAAAGTGTCACCATTCCTCGAATGGAGCTCACTGCTGCGACTTTAGCAGTGCGCCTTGACTTAGTTGTGAAAGAAGAACTCCAAACAGTTGTCGACTCGACAGTTTTCTGGACCGATAGTACAACTGTTCTTCGTTATATCAAGAACAAAACAAGTAGATTTCATATTTATGTAGCAAATCGCATTGGTTACATTCTTGAACACAGCGACGAGAACCAGTGGAAATACGTTACTTCAAAGGTGAATCCTGCTGATGAAGCCTCACGAAGCACAACGGTGGAAAAGTTTTTGAATGAGTCGATGTGGGTTCGTGGGCCAGAGTTCCTGACGCTTCCTGAAGATAAGTGGCCAGAGCAGCCATTCAAAGAACTTGAAACAGTGATGGATGGTGACCCTGAAGTAAAAATGCCAAAACTGGTGTCAGCGACGTCCACCGAAACACAGCCAACTGACAAGCTACTGCAACATTATTCCAACTGGTACCGCCTTAAAAGAGCTGTAGCTTACTATATGCGATTGAAACAAGTCTTGCGTGATCGTATCAAGAAGGAAGAGAAGCCAGAGAGCAGAAACGTCACCAATGGAGGCATAGCGAGTGACTTGTCTGTCGAAGAACTTCAAAGTGCTGAAATGTGCATTGTCAAGTACGTTCAAGCAGGATCCTTTTCAGAAGAGTTGGCCGTTCTTCATTCTCCAGAGCACAAGAAAATAACCAAGAAGAGTAACATCTACCGGCTAGATCCAGTCTGTGAGAGCGGTGTGCTACGGGTCGGTGGTCGACTAAGTCATGCTTACGCCTCAGAAGCATCACACCCAGCGATTCTGCCAGCAAGGTCTCATGTGACTGATTTGATTATCTCAGACACACATCGCAAGATCGGCCACAGTGGACGTCTCCATGTCTTGTCAGTGATTAGGGAACGGTTCTGGATTATTCGCGGAATGGCTGCGGTGCGCCGCGTGCTGTCACGTTGCGTATTCTGTCGCAGACTACACGGCCGTCCTTTAACACAGAAAATGGCTGATCTCCCGCAAGACCGCGTCACCCCGGACTTGACGCCATTCGCGGTCACTGGAGTCGACTTATTCGGACCTTTTTATGTCAAAAGAGGTAGAGCCACAGTGAAACGGTTTGGTGTCATATTTGTGTGCCAAAAAATCCGCGCTGTACATCTGGAAGTTGTACACTCCTTGACGACTCATTCCTTCATAAACGCGTTGCGTCGTTTCATGGCCAGACGAGGGGCAGTAAGGATAATCAGATGTGACAACGGCACAAATTTCGTGGGAGCCCGCCGGGAGCTGAAGGAAGAGATCCGCAACTGGAATCAGCAGCAAATAGAAGACGAACTTCTGCAGAAAGAGGTAAAATGGATTTTTAACGCACCGGGCGCCTCGCACCACGGAGGAACATGGGAACGCCTGATTCGCGAAACGAGGAAAATATTGAACTTTCTGCTGCAGCAAAAGACTTTAGAGGATGAGTGCTTATCCACCTTCATGTGTGAGGTAGAGGCGATTTTGAACGGACGCCCGCTCACACCTGTCTCAGATGACCCAAGGGACTTGGAAGCGCTCACACCTAACCATCTGCTCATCTACCGTTCGGCACAGCCATTGCCACCCGGTATCTTCTCAGAAGCCGACTCGTTTTCAAGAAAGCGATGGAAACTAGTTCAGTACCTTGCGACGGAATTCTGGCGCCGTTGGAAGAAGGAATACGTCAGTTCACTTCAAGTACGACAAAAGTGGATCCAGCCTCAGAGAAATTTGCGTGAAAATGACATGGTTCTCCTGGTAGACGCAGACTCGTCTCGCAACGAATGGAAAATGGGAAGAGTGATCAACGTGTATCCTGACGCAAAGGGCAATGTTCGTGTCGCAGAAGTGAGGACGAGCACCTCCATTCTTAGAAGGCCGATCAGCAAGCTTGTGCTCCTCTTACCAGAAGACGGCGCGAGCACGTGCTGAAACGGGGGAGGGGGTAAAGAGGCGGTGCTGCATTAGTTTCAGCACGGAATCAGGTTGCGCCTTTTTACGACCTAAATTTCTCGTGCTCCGTCTGTGAGGTCAAAGTATTTGACAAATTTGCGTTCCTGGGCGTTCCTCCCTTCTACCTGGGCCTTCCAAAGTTTATCTTCTTGTGACATGTTTTCATACCCCGTCATCGTAGCAGTCTTATCTGTGAAATCATTGTTGAATATTGTGATCATCATTTCTTGTAACTTTTCTGTTTCCAATCGTACTGTGTTCACTTTAACGTCTGCTGCATTGTAACTGACTTCGGACATTACCTTGGGGCCAACCACCGTCCAGCCCAAGCAAGTTTTCAAGGCGTAAGGGCCACCGTTTTGGCTGTGGATTACCTCCCATGGCTCCATTGCTTTCGGGCAGTCGCATCCTATTAATATTCCAATTTTATCCGCCTTTACTTCTGGGATTTCAATTTCTAGATAAGACCACTGTTTCTTCAAACTTGTTCTTGCTACATCTTGGTCTCCAACTGGAATGGTTGGTATCGTATATACTGGTGGTAACGGAAGAGAGTTGTTACCGTTGACATCAGCTACATGTAACCCCGTTACCAGTCGACTTTTAACCGGGCTAGCTGTATGTTCTACTGTGGTAATAGTGAGCAGCGTCTCTTCTCCAGGTTGACCCAACTGACTTCGTAACTCTTCCGTTATGAATGTACTTTGACTGCCGTTATCCAAAAATGCATATGTCTTGACAGGGGCTTTGCCTGAGACGCACCCCAGGTCAGGTGAGGTCAGGCTGATTTTTAGTGTTTTCCACCACTGAGTTTTGAAATAGGGGCTCCAAAACAAGCTCTTAAAAGCTTATGTGAATCCCGAAATCGAAAAGCCTATGCTGTGAATCTGCGCGTAAGCCAGTGCCCGCTGGGGCCCATGAATTTTCAAGCCGACGATGGCGAGGGGGTCTAAACGAGGACCTAACTCGTCCCCTGGACTATATAGTTACAAGACGTCAGCAGTGTTGTGAAGGTCGCAAGGCTACGCTTTGATTATTTTTGGTCCACCAGAGCCCAGAGGTCAGGTGACCAGACACTTTTCCGAGGTCAAAGACAAATTGCCCTTATTTTGGTCCGCGGTCAACGGATAAGCCTCCATAGAGCAAAAACCGTAAAATGAAACGCTTTGTGCGAGAGCCGCTTTCTGAAATATTTTTTAGGCATAATGTTTGTAAAAGCTTTTCATAGCCATCCAACATCATGCCGCCAAACCACCCATCCCCGTTGATCGGTAGTTGGAAATAAAACAAATGAGCGCCAGTTGCGAACAGCGACTGAAAGCTGCTACTATACCCATAACAAGTAATGGTACAGGGACCCGCAGTTGCTACTGTACACATATATTACCGATTTAGAATTGCGCTATTATTTGCTAAGTGCTGGCCATTGGAGAAAGGAAATGTAGTGCAAAGTATGGAGGAATAACACATGTTTGCTCCTAGGACGTATGTTTTGTATAATTCCTCTTACCGCAACAGATATTCTTCCAAAACTACAATCGTGCTATTTTTCCGCGCCGGTTGCCTCCCCAGAGCCCGTCCTTGGTATCGCCTATAGCTTCCGTTCCCGCTACGTGAATGAAAGTCACGTGACTACTACAGGTTTGCGCTCAGTACTAACACACCTAGCCCGAGGGCCGGTCCGTAGCGGGGAGGGGTAGAACGCCAGAGCTCCAGCGCATTGGAGGTGGTGGTGGCCCGTATCATAAAGAGGCAACCGTAAGCAGAACTACAATTGCCGCAGTATAAGATTATGATCAAGTTTTCTCTAGATGTATTGATTGACAAGAAAGTGCAATGCTTATCCGATATAATAAAACAGTGTCCAAGGCCTTGGAAGAACTATAAAACATATTCAGCAACGTATAAATTTCTGATACAGGCCATGACCTTTCACCTTGCCTCCGGGGAGGACCGCTCAGGAAGCCACATACCGAACGAATCGAGGCCTCGCAGCGCGGCGGCAGAGGAGGTGGATAAACCATCGCCAGATCTTTCGGTTACTTATGTTGAAGAGGGGAGGGAGTTGAAGGTGGAGGGTGAGGGCTGTTTTCAACCCACTCACCAATCCTTTCCTTATTAACTTATAGCTTACCGAAAAATGCAACACAATGGTGGCCGTCACGAGATGTAGCGAAGAGTGCCTCAGCCACACCGGTTTTGAGTAAACTTTAAGCATTGGAATTCAGGCCAGTGATCCTGAAGCATTATTTTATTTTTGTCGTGCATAAGCTGGGATGACGTGGTTCAAGTTAATTGCGAAGAAACGGTTTTAGTTTCAGATCATTTATGAGGCTAGTCGCGCCAAATAGTATACGTTTGTTGCAAAATGTCAAATAGAATGTTGACGTGCTATCCAGATGATAGAATTTATTTGATACAAGAAGTCAAAAAGTGGCATCGTTAGTCATCCTGCATACCTATAAATCGATTCGTCACCTTGGTTCGAGCTCAATAGTTCTTTTCGCGGATGATCGGTTTCGTTTTCTTTCTTTTTTTTTGGAGGGGGACAGAAAAATTCCGTTTACTCCTTTATTTACTCCATGGCATACATACTTATGGCTAAGTTTTTTTTCCTCCATCAAAAAGTGACTGTTTTAAGCCTTCCAATAGCTCAAGTTTTCTATCACGGATGAAATCATTTTATCCTTCAGATAATCTGCAAATCACTTACAACTTGAGTAATCAACAAAGAAAAACAATTTCCTACCATTTTTATTCAGCAGAAACAAGCGCAGCTCAGTTTGGTTTTCGACAGCGCAGACAACAATGGCTTACCCGGCTCATTTTCCCCAGGTGAAAATGGCTCATCTTGCCCCACCCGTGGCCATTTTCGATTAATGACACCCGCTAAGGAAAATAACCATGCACCGCAGATAACAACCATCTCATTTTAAAGGCAAAACATGTCTTAGTTATCAGGGGCGATACCACATGTTACCGGGTGCTGAGCGTGAGAACGTTGCCGTCTCACGTGAAAGACTGCAGCATCGTAAGCGAACGGCACATGGAAGCTCAAGTCAATTAGCGCCATAGGAGCTGAGAAACATGGGGTGGCTAAACTTGCCCCTTGGCTCATCTTACCTCACTCTCCCCTATTTGGGGCTCTCAACTTTGATTTTTTAAAGTTTTTTGTCTGTTCATTATAAAAGATGTCAAATTTGCCGTATCATTAAACTTTTATTGAGTTTGTATTTCACACTTATCTAAAATGAACAATTTTGTCACTGGCTTCTTTTATGAATGGAATTGGATGGTCGCATGAATGAACAAATGAATAGCTCCATTTGAGCATCAGCTGAAATCAATCCTAAAATTTAATCTACTAGTCTGCAACGAAAAGGTTTAAAAACCAGTGCAAGTTAGGTGCAGTTTCTAATCTATGCCGTTTTTTATTAAGTGTCTCATAGCTCATTAATCTTGAGCCGCTTCTCTTACGATTCCTTTTATGTGGTGCTTACATTGTTCAAGAAGTTAAAGTATTCGAGCTCGTTGGTCTTAAAAACTGCTATCGAAGTAAATTAAAGTGCTTCGGGCTTCGGCACATAAAAACCAATCGATATTTAACCCTCACCCACTTAGGCATGTCTTTTCAGCGTCTTACATGTAGCGGAGGGGCGTAGAAACCCTCAGCCATTCGGCCCTTGATAAAAATAGCCAGAGCTTCGCTGAAAAAAATAAAAAAGAGCGAGCTGCTCGTGACGAGAGAAATCCGATGATTTGAGGGTCCTGGTAATCGCTGACGAGAGAAAGCCACTTATTTTTATGTCCTGGTCAATGCTGAGATCCTAGGTTACTGGTTGACCTCCCAGAACAGGTTAACCTTCGCCCTGGTGGGGGGGGGGGCCATTTTGGCCCCCCCCCCCCTGTGGTTTTTCAGCGATAACTCAGAAACCACTTGAGTTAGCGCCCTGAAACTTTGTATAGCTGTTTATTCAACATTTTTACATCATGTCCTTTTTTGGGGGGTTCGGGTCAGGTCAGGTCAGGTCACAAGGTCACCAAAACTGACACCACCTCTAAAAAAGTTCAAAGCTCTCTCAAAGGCACAGCTTTTATCCGATCGATGTAAAATTTACAGTACTTGAAGATGTCACCCAGCTCTACAAAATGGCTATCTCGGATTTTTTATAAATGTGACCTAAGGTCAGGTCAGGTCATCGCTGCTCCCCATTATAAGTCAATGGGAGAATCGAAAAGTAGTTGTTTTTCAGCTAAATCGGGCGTGATTGTTCCTATATTTCGTTATTGAAGTGTCTTGGGTCAGCAAATCACAGCCCATGTGAAACCATTTGCTTGTGACCTCGCTGAGGTCACGCTAGGTCATCTCCCTGGTCACCAGAGGTCACCAGCGGTTTTTCTGCACTTACTTGTTATTGAATAGAGATAGAGACTCCGTTCGACGTTTATCGTGTTTGTCTCGTCAATGCGGATCGAATGATATGCAGCATGACCTATTTCGGTAAGGTCATGACCTTGACCTGAGGTCAAATTTTCAAAATGACCTTTCGAGGTCAAACTATATATCATTCGACGCGTCTCGACGAGCCAAGCACGATGGTGCATGAATCGTTTCTCTATTTTCTCGTGAATGCATGCTATAGTTAAAAACATTTTCAACGAAATTTGCCAAGTTGACCTTGCATGACCTCTGTGGGCCAAACCGTTGAGCTGAGGTCAAATCTGACGAACCTTGGCGAAAGAGCTTGAAAAGAGCTATCGATTGCTTTTTTCCGCGGCTCTCTAGCTCTTCTAGTTTCCGAGCTACAGCGGAATATGTCCGGCAACACCGAAAACACTGAAATTTGACCTATGATGACCTCTAGCGACCTCAATATTGACCTTAGCGAAAAAATGACTGAAATACTTTCGAACGTACTTGTTATGGGCTTTCGTTTGCTTTTTTCCGCGTCTTCCTAGCCCTCTTCGTTTTCGAGTTAGACGGGGGGGGGTCATTTTGGCCCCCCCCCACCAGGGCGAAGGTGGCTCAGACCCACACCAGGGCGCGGGTTAATAACCCAAAAGCACGGAAAAT